TCTCCTATAATAAGTAATTTTAATCTAATATGTGTTTAGGAGTAGACTTTAATAGCAACTTTTGCTGTGACAGCAACGAGTTCCATCCCATTGCACGACTTAGACATTTGTTGTTAAGTTTGATTGTTTGTATTGGTGTTTTCTTTGTTTATTATATATAGTATTGAGTTTTTTATCAGGTATTTAATATCCATGCTTACCTTAGGACTAAAGGATGTTGTATGAATTGTCGTTAAATTGTATTATCATCTTTTCATTATTAGGTAGGTAGTTCGTAGTATATTCCATATTTATTGTTTACTTCTTACTATTCAATTCTTTTATAATTTAAAGTTCTAAAGTATAAGAACTAGAAACGGATTCTAATAATATTATTTTAGATATTTTTTTATAAAAATGCATTGTAATGTAACAATAGGTAGGAACTAATTTCATGGCAGTGATTCTAGCTACGTCATAGAATAAGAATTCAAGTTAGTGGGGAATGAAATAATGGTTTCTGAGGGGTTGAAGCTAACTTCATATCCGCAAAGTTATTTGATGCCATTTTGTGTCACGATGTAACTAAATAGGTTAGGTAGATATACGATAAACGCACTATCATATGACAAGTAACTTACAAGGACGACACGACTTCCATACTGTTATATTACACTGTAGAAGTTCGAATAATTGTGACATGCGTACCATGCATACTTTCTACTTTTCAGTTTTGTTGTATGTTGTCGAATATAACAATAAGCTTTTTAAATGTAGATGATATATTATGTTTTCGAGTCTTCGTATTGAGTAAAGATATGTAATACAATTATAATTGTTTTCTTAATCACTTGTATAGCATATCTTTCAACTGATTATTTTAAGCATCTGCTTTAGAGTGTTTAGGAAATAGAACTCGAGTTTTTTAATGTAATGCCGGACCACTTGATTCCGCTTTTAGAAAATTTTGTTCTTATTTAAAAATGACAATGATACATATACATTTACTTAAGAGATTGACAATAACATATAATTCTGTAATAAAATACAGAATTATATGTTATAGATAGAAATACTTTAATTTACATACTTATATATACATCTAGCTGTACTCACGACTTCGTCCGCGTGGAATTTAACTTTATTTTTTAAAATAAAAGTAGATCAAGTTATTTATTACATTAGCTACCTGCTAAAAAAAGTCCCGTCAAAATCGGTCCAGCCATTTCAAAGATTAGCCGGAACAAACAAACAGACAGACAGACAAAAATTGTAAAAAATGTTATTTTGGTTTATGTATCGTATTTATATATTGATATGCATGTAGTAAAAAACGGTTATTTCAATATTACAAATAGACACTCCAATTTTATTTATATGTATAGATTTACTTTACAAATTTTGTTCATATTTAAAAATTTCAATTATTTACATGTTCATAACGTATAATTCTGTATCTTATTATAAATACTTTACTCCGGATTACTGAAAACACCGCAAAATAAATCCCATTTCGCCAATCACACTGAAGGAGCAGCTAGTTCTAATAAAAACATTCCCACTGAGACATTTTTACACATTTACTAAAGCCAACGTCGAGTAGAACCTCCAGTGAACTGATGTTATATTCATGAAGTGGAGTTATTTGATTCCTTAGAAAGTAAATTTCCTCGTCTTATTTACTTGCGTATTTTACATTTGACATAGACTTTTAAGAGAAAGGAATTAATTATTAAATTAGACTACCTAAGAATATAAACTGTCTTATCGTTATCAGATATTTAGGTAATCTTAGTGTAGTAGAGTACAGTAGATTCATCCAATAGTACACTTTATCGGGACTAGAATATATATATGTATATTCTAGTCCCTAACATGACTGTCAGAAAATTCATTGCTTGCTTATACAATTATACTCTACAAGAATTATATTCATCGGTAACTGGATAAAAGCTAATCTGTAAAATTTTCTACTACTATAATTCCAGGTGTGAAATCCTATTTATAAAGTTATTTACATTTCAGACGGTAAAGTTCAGAATCCAACGGGACCCCAATACGAATCTACTGGAAAGTCTAAATATGGTTAAATAGAAAATAATTATTCAGTAAAGTTATATAGTTAAGAATAATTAAGTTAGTATATATATATATATTTCTTTAATTAATATGTAGATTCAAATCGAAGCGTTCACTAGGACGTCGACAGATGTCAATGACTCTGACTACCCCTCATAGGATCACAACGATGACGATATATTTATTATCTTTTTGTTTGAATTAATTAAAAAATACTCTATATCAAGAATTATACAGTGACTTCACGTCTATTTAATGGAGGAATCGTAATGGAATACCGCCCATCCACTCTTTCCACATGTCTTATTCATGACTTCCATGAGTGCTAATAGCCGAGGGTGTTTCAGAGACGTTAACTAAATTTTTTCCTTAGTTATCACCTTCAGCGGTGATAATATAAATTGAACTATTATTATAAAAAGAAAAACATATATTTCTTTTTTATTTTGAATGAATATATTAAGAAAACGCTAAACAGTTTTTAAATAATCTTTTACCAACAGAAAGTTATATTATCAACATAATGATATATATAGACGGAAAAAGCGTAATTGTTATTCTTGAAAAACCCAATTTCACAAAAATTCTCTTATATTCTTCTATATAAAAAATTCATAATGATATATTCATTATGAATTTTATTGAGACAGAAAGTTAAAAATTTGTATGTATATATCAATCAATTTTACTCTTTCTATCTCGATAAATATATGGGATATGAATTTTTGGGTTTGGTTTTTCGAGTTTTTCAAGTTACGACTATCCGTTTTTTTTTTCGTCGATGTATACAAAAAGAGGGACAGATTATTTATAAATTATTCTATTCAAGTTTTATCTGCATCTGTAGTATACGCTAATTGTACGAGCATTACAAATAATCCTAACCTGTGTTAGACTGTGACGTGTTAAGTTGAAATATAGACTAGGCGTCTATATTTCAACTTAACATATCAGAACATTATAGCAGAATAAACATTTTGCAATATAAAATATCAATTTTAATACCAACAAATATATTATATATATTGTATCGTGTGTATAATATATGAATGTATATTTTACAATGTAAGATTTGTGTATCTTATCTAATATGTAAGTAATTACCTATTTATTTAAATATTATTATACTTATGCTTCAACAAATATACAGATATACATAACTAAACTGTAATTAAGATATTTATTTACCTAAGACACAATACCGAATATTAAAACAACATTTAATAGTCTGCGTTCCGAATGAGTGGTAGATTAAAAAAAAATGACCGAATACTAAATAAGACAATACTACGATCAATTATGGCTAAGAATTTAAATTAGTAAATGGCTGTTAACAAGTTTTAGTTGTAATTCTTAATGGAAATATAAATTATCCTATCATCTAAGCCCTCGCTCTATCAAATAGACCACCCACACTCTGTATTTTACAGACTGATAATAAAGAAATAAGTTATGTATATTATAAACTTTTACAGCTTTTTATGTAAATAAAACAGCAAACAAGCTAACGGCCCACCTTATGAAGAGTGGTTCCCAACGCAATGGATACTAACACAAGCAAGGCTGGACATCATGAAATTATTTTGTGATATCCGTAATACTTTTCATGCTTTGCTATGTTTGACTACGAACCTCGGTACCACGTTATATCAATACATATAGCATCATTCAAATCCGAACATAAAATCTTTTTTTTTTCCAATTCAAATTCATTATTTGTGAAGTATAGGTTATAAACTTGAATTTGAAAAATAAAGCTTATAAAGCATCTATACATTCATAAATTTAGTCGGTGAAGCTCACACACTTTACACACACACATACTTCATATCAGTCTCTTTAAATGTTGATACGATAAACCATATAAGCAAGAAATAGGTCTTCCTTTTTGAATTATATATTCAACAGTAGACAACATTTGGTTTAAAATATATTGATGATACTTTTATAATTCCATCGTCTAAAGAATTAATGGCATTAATGTGTAATTCTAAAATTGTATATTATACTTCCATAGGCCTTAAAATTACCATACATTATACTATGTAATCATTACAGCTAAACCAATTTTCATTAAAATCTTTTTAACGTTATTAATTGTACTTAGCATTCCGTGGATTAAGAGTACCAATGCAAATATGGGAAACGAATCAGCGAGTGAGCGAGGAATTAATTAAATTTACATTTTATTAGTAAGGCGTCGGTCGGTTGTAACATAATGACAGTTCCATTATTCAACTTCATTCTTTCTTCGAACATCCTAATTTTGAATTCAGTAGATATTTTTAGACATTAAATGAATCTGTAAAAGTTTCAAACTGTCAATCATTTTTATGGATTATTTTTGATAGAATTCATAACTCCCTGTTCCTTTCTAAAATCTGTTCGAATAATAAAAAGACTTAAGTAATAATTGAATCAAATCGTAAAAACCAAGAATATTGAATAAGTATTGGACATCCAAAAGTTCAAACTTATACAGCCATATTTCTCGCGTTCCAACATTTTAAAGAAGTCATTCACTATGTTTTTGGATTGTGAACATTCCTCTGTATCTTGGTAGAGTCATATTGTAATTTGTTTTTTATGATGTCAACATGCTTACTCTAAACCTACGTCAAACACGTATATAGGCTACTTTGAAAACTACACATCAGTTTGTACACCAGAGTTTTTAAAAACAACTGGAGGAGTATTACGGGTAGTTTATGATGACTTAATGTTTGTGGTGGTGTTGTTGTGTTGTATTGATGTGTTATGACATTGACTACTTTCCATTATGTACATATATCATCATCAGCTGTTTTATTATTTTAATTGTATAGAAGAATCGTATCCGCGTTTTATTTTCATATATCGCATATTATCTGATACGTTAAGATATAAAGATGGTTGATTATATAATTTTCAATACTGATTCATATAAAAAAACCCGTACTCACTCGAGATGCTCCTTGTAAATGTCGAAGTCGGTGAAGACGAGTTCAACGATTTGGTGCGGAGCAGCAAGGAAGGTGTAGAGCAGGCAATCGAGGCGTGGCGGGTAGGGTCGCGGGTAGTCCGGACTGCTGAATGTGCCGCGCTCCTTGCCGTACGTCGACGTGAACCGGAGGCATGTGCAACCTGCAAAGCAAACATTATTTATCATCCAAACATATGAAATTACAGGCTGCGGAGGTAGAAAAATCTTGGTCTTCAGGTTTATCAACGTAAACGAAGTACCATAGATATTAAGGCGGCATAATCTCCGCGGTGTAGTTTATGCAAGGGCAGCAAGAATACTGTCTGTACGAGTATTCTATAAATTTTGGATTTATGGCCTTTGATACAGGATATTGAGGATATTTTTATTTTCATTTCAAGTTTGTATAAGATTTTGGTTAAAAGTACGTAAATTGGTCAAAGTACGAGGTCAGAAAGCCAAATTCAGTTGATAGACGAGATTTTATCAGATTTATTATTTTTTCGTACGAGGCTAAGTATTTAAGGTCGGCAACCTTTAAAGGCAGTTGTCACTTTTCATTAGAGCAGTCAGCTTGTTAACTATTGCATTTGAAAAAAGGATGTCACTGTCACCACCACGCCTCAAATCGAAACAAAGGTGATATAGACGACTTTGTAGAAACTCTGATAAATATTACACTAGTGAACAAATTTATTATTATTGCGTTTGTTATTTATTTTCAATATAGAATCTCGTTATACAACTTGGATGCTGTTGACAGTTCTTCCAACTACCTATTTGCGTAGTTCATTTTCTCTAGCCGCAAAACTAATACTGTGTTTGCAATGGTGTTTATTTGACGTTAGAATATGACAAAGCGAACACGTAAATACTGGTAGCGACAATTCAACTGCTATTGTTTCAAATTTATATCTTGAATTGTTCGTAATCTAAATTACGTGGATTCTTCGTACAAATGTAATAAAATACAACGTGTATTAACAATGCTAATGTTAAAAGTAAGTAAGCGAAAACGTAAATATGTGTTTGTGTTTGTATAATTTTCACGACTAATCGACTGAACAGTGGAACAAAATCGGTTTAAATTAGAAAAATATCGTATATTTTTAATCTGATACTAATTACATAAATATACTACAATAAAGTAAACTACCAAAGTGCTATTCTTCAAACAGTGAATAGTAATAGAGATAATGGATATTACATGTAATAATATAATCATTATAAAAACCATTTCATAACTTAAGAGAAAAAAATGTATTATAAAAGAAATATTATAAATACAAGTATACTTTAAATACACTGTAGGTACTTATTATCACGATTCTGAGAGTACTATTCAAACGACCAAGTGGGAAACTCAGTTTTACAGAGTAACTACTTGCAAATGAACGCAAAATTCTGATAAATGCCCGTCGAAGTTCGCAGGTCTGCCACGTTGGTTATTCAAGCTACAGTGCTATTCACAAGCTTTTGTTCCTCAACCGTTCATAGCCTACCTAATCGCACAATTCCAACAGCAATTTGGTTGTTGTAATTTAGCGTAATCGAGGTCTGAATGTGAGCGAATCGATTCATAGCCATTAGGGATTGACCTCTATTAGGTTTGGAACATATGGACGAAAACTGTACAGGAAACTTTATTGTCAAAGTTGTACAACGTGCATGCTTTCGTAAAAAGTTTATTTTTATTTTTAAATTGTTAAATTCTGTAATCGGTATCTATAAATATGAATATATAATATATGAAGCTATAATAATATATATGAATTTATAATATGAAATTTATATCCTATATGTTATTCTGATGTATAATCTATATTACTGTAAAGTTTTATTAAAATCCATTCAGTAGTTTTTGCGTGAAAGAGTAACAAACATCCATCCAACCATTCATCTGCACTCACTAACTTCGTTAACCGCATTTGTAATATTAGCAATATGCCTCTATGAATTCTTTAAGCGATAAAATCTTTTACATGACAGACAGACAAGATTTTTTTAATATAACTGCAATGGCATGCCATGCTCATAGGCAACCTTATGAAGTAAGTATCGACTATAGACATTAACAATACTATCAACATCACACAATACATAAATATATCATGACGCGTACATGCAGCGTATTATGGGTATAGTACGCCGCATGCGTTCATGCGTTTCATTCTTGATGAATAAGATGTATATATGTATTTAATTTTCATATAATATCTAATTCTCTTTTTTAGTGCGCCACCTACCTTTCCCCTTACTCAATACTTCTATCTTCCAAGTTATCTCTAAGAGATTGTTTTGAGCGATAAGGCCGCGTTTTGTTTGCATATATTTATTTTTTTCTTTTTTGTAATTACTTGTTTCTTTTATGTAAAATAAAGAGTTTTATTATTAAGATGTAATATTATGGTACAGACATATCTTGTTATAAAACGGAAATCGGTAAAGCTTATATTATATATTAGTTTATATCTTACAAATTATCGATTGATGAAAAATACACGTATTTTTCCTAAGTGTATCTTCTACTCCAATAATTTTAATCCGCATCTACTGTCACTAATTCTATACATACAAATTTATTGTCCATCGAATCTCGCCGTTTTGAATCTTATATTGTTATTTGCTCTTTCCATTGCTTATATTATAATAATCACAAATTCCATTGCTTTACAAAATCCATATGTTAGCATTACCTACTTGTGTAAAGACATTTTTGTTGATGTTTTTATTAGATATAGCTTGCAACTTTCTTACGAAATAAGAATACGCGTTTTTGTAATTTATATTGATGTTTCTTAAAAAGTTACTTATTGAACTTTAGCAAAAATCTTTTGCTTGCAAATATAAAGAAAGATTGGCTAAAATCCAAGATAGAGAATTATTTTTGTATGGCCTGCAGTAAAGTGATAAAAAATGAGATATTTTCATTTCTTCGTATGACAAAGAAGTAAGGATACAATGTATAATCTATACTTTCCATTTATTGGACATCTATATCGAGTAAGGAGAACACAAGCACTATTACAAGAGAATGTTAGGGAAGTTAAGCTGATACAGTATTTCTTATGATAAATAGATTTTATATTACAGTATTTCAATTCTACTAAATTTTACTAATAAAAATATTCTTTTGAAAACGTAATATCAAGCTATAATAGAAAACATCGATAACATGTTGCAGATTAATCCTTTTTAGAGATCATGTTGATGAAATTTAATTTGCCGGGGAAAAAAGTATCTCATCACTCTTCCATGCCGATGGATCTAATATACTTTATTACAATATAGATGAAGTAGAAAGAGGATGAAAGACGTGAGTTTATTATTATATACATACATTACAGTCATTTCAACATCGAATTCTCCAGTGACTTACTTGGCACCACCATCGTGACTTGATTTATTGCAAGACTCACTAATGATAGTAAAGAAACAGTTACTAAATAAAGGGACGGACATTATACGCGGGCTCAGTTACGCAGCTGATGAATATTTTATGTAAAAATCCCGGAGACTTACTTCTTAGAGAGCAATTCCAGACGGTGTCAAACTGGAATCTCGAGTTATTTCAGACGCAGTTGAATATAAACGTGCCTTTAAAAATTCAGTGTAGTTTTATCGTTTATTAAATTAGAATATTTATTTATGATTAATGTAATCTTTACTTTATATTTCTACTTCTATCATATCAACGTTGTATCTTTCGAATTGTTGTTTACTTGATGTTTATGTATGTTATATAAAAATACTAGAAACATATTTCTTAATACGCTATTCCAGATGATGTGAAACAGGTATCTCGAGCTGAATATATAGGTGCTTTGAAAAATTCAGTGTGGTTTTATCGCTTATTACTTATATGTATTTTTTTAATAATATTGTTTACGAGCTGTTCCCGCGACTAGGTCCGCGTAATTTAGGTTTATTTTTCTAAAATAAAAGATATTTTGTAAAATGCCTAAAAGCTTGAGGTACTCTTTATTACATCAGCTACCTGCCAAAGAAAGTCCCGTCAAAATCGGTCCAGCCGTTTCAGAGATTAGCCGGAAGAAACAGGCAGACAGACAGACAGACACACAGACTAACAAAAATTGTAAAAAATTTTGTTATTTCAATATTACAAATAGACACTCCAATTTTATTTATATGTATAGATTAATTATATATGTGTGTACTAACTGAAATTTAGCTATTTGATATAGTCTGTAATTTATCCATGTTATAAACTATATAACATCAGTTTAATATAGAAAATGTATATGTTTGGAGGATGCTTGGCAACAATGCTTGTTTGCCACCTACGTGGTATAAAAGAAAACATATACTGTTTTAAATTATTTTTACGTACAATTAAATACATGTAACTCGCAACAGCAATTGACTTAATTTATAAAACATGAAATATAGAGACGAACTTAAGTAAAGTATTTCGTGGATTAACCGTGCTGGTCCCGGATCCACTGTGTGGCTGAGAGAGAACTCCGAGCAGTTACCGGGACTTGTTATCCAGGTGTAGGTTATATAAAAACGTAACGTAAAATAAATTTTAATTATATTGTGGAATTTAATAAAAGTATAAATAAAATTGTTGTTCTTGAGCATGTTAAAAGAATATTCTAAGAATTTAATACACTCTACGTTTTATTGTTTAGTAGTAAAATTAATTATTATCAAGTTGGGAGATATTCAAATTTCTATAAGAATTCATATTAAAAGTTAAAGTGTCATCAATATATAAAATATTAATAATAATCGTCATCATCACGTATGTATAAAAATATTATATATTATTGGTTTCCACAAAAGGCACATATATTTTATAATTTAGTATTTACAAAATTAAAAAACGCATAACAGTGGCACATTTTTTTTACAACATTTGTTTTGGCAATATCCTCAATCCTTTGCATTAAATCAAAATTAAACCTAAACCACTTACATATACTTTAAAACATGCAGTATCATCAGTATTGATCAGTCATCAGCATAAAAATGTTTGTATCAGTTGTTTAGTACCATAATACAAGCTCTGTTTAGTTTAATACCATATGGCGATAAGTGAATTATACGGCATTGTTTATTTAATGACTTTATGTCTTCTAGAGTACACTATATCTACTATGACGTCACATAGAAAATAATCAAATCGCTTTCAACAATACCTAATTTTTAATCGAATTAGGTGTTATTTTGCGGAAGTCTATTTTACTACTCGATAGATTTATATTATTTTGTTTAATTCCGCTACAAAATAATATAACTCTATCTAGTAGTAATACCTAATTTGTCAGATATATAGGCAAATATACATACGTATATACAAATAGACATACATGTACAATGTATGTATACTTAGATATATATTTGTTTAAATAATCTATCCTCTTTGCTTTGCTGTAGAAGGGAATTCAATAGTAAATTTTGATTCAGTAAGATCGATATTATACAAGCGAAGCAATTTAAATAGTACATTACAACGAAATTAGTGAAATCATCTAAATTTAAATGGAAGGCAAACAGTTTCGTTTACCTAACCATACATAATTACGCGAATTTAAAGTAATATTTCGCAAATTACACTGAAATCATTTCAATGTTACCTACCAGAAATGAGATATTGAAAATTAAATCGAAACGAAAGCAATTTGTGTTAACTGAATTAATTTTCAATTTGACGCAATAATATCTGCAATGTTCGATGGTAATTATTATATTGAATTGCTTCTATTAATCACTTTCGATTAAAATTAATTGAATAAAAAATATTAACAAACTCATATCTATTCTGCTATATTAATATTATAAAGAGGTTAAGTTTGTGGGTTGTCTCTTTTTCTTTATCTCTCTGCATATGCTGAACCAGTTTTGAAAATTCATTTATTAGAAATTTCTATAAAAATGCACATTATTTGTGAGTAGCTTTATTTCATGGATGATAATGGAATGGTGCGCCCGGTTTACGCTGGCGTGGCACCAGTGGAGGATGATAAGATGAGCACGAAGTCAGGTCAGTTAGCCCATCGTGATAAATTCACCAAGAATTTATCACTATGGTTTCCAGAGGAGGTCGACTTAATACGGTACATTGCTATCAATGGATCATTAGACCCTATTACTAATAATACCATCTCCCCTGTGAGTATCTTAGACTGTGTAACATTACGGTTACGGCCAATAGGAGCGGAACTGAATTAACCTGTTCCAAAAACGATGAAATTGTGAAGCATGGGATAGAGGAAATTGCGAGGTTAGACTACTTAGATAAATAAACAAATAAACAACACTGGACTATTAACACAGCGCCATCTAGTCCCATTCTAAGCAGAGGTTGTGTTATGGGTACTAGACAACTGATATATATATATTTTGTAAATAAATACATAATATATAGAAAATACCCAAACCGATATAAACAATCATACTAATGAATACAAATGTTTGCACCGTGCGAGAAATCGAACCCGCAACCATCGGAAGTAAAGCGGTGTGCTAAATCACCGAGGCCGTCTATACGAACATAACCGTCGAGAATAACAAAGCATGGTTTACTATGAGTATCTGCAGAAGAATTCTTTATATGGATGGGTTCGGATGAATAGATAAAAATAAACAAATAAACAAATTTAGGAACTTTTGAATAGTCATAACAATTTGTTTTTTATCTACCATCGTTCGGAAAGCTGTCTCATCACAAGAAGAACGAACAAGAAACTAGTGTGTTGTCTTTTAAATAATCCTTGTAAGTTTACATTTACAAGTCGAAACGTGTGAATACAAACTACCAACAAGCATATATATATATATAAATATGCAATAAGATTAAATCACATAATATATAAGCAAATACAAGCAGCACTCGTTTCACGATATAAACAATCACTGCGCTCGACTATATGAATACAAATGTTTGCCACATGTCTGGACATTTTAGTGAGAAACTACTCATTCCACACGACCATCACAGTAAAAAATTACTATATGGTAGTTACAGTATTCGCACTTTACATAAGGATGCATGCGGCAATCAATACAAAAGCCGCTACGCTATCATATATCAAGAAAGCATATGAAAATTAAAATTATAACGTTGTCCGAGTATTCTTGCTATATATTGCTATCATCTATAAATTCATCTTATAATGGACATAACATTTGTTTAATATAAGATTTGAATTACCATAAATTACAATGAAATATTGTGCCCCGATATACCACATTACAACATAAAAATCTACTAATCCTATTCTTACTTAAATTCACGCAAGTAACGCCGCGGTATACAACTAGTCTAAAATAACTCGACCCAGTTTTATGACAAGGTATGTGGTATATATTAGGCGGTCATTACATGTAAATATAAATTAAAATAATGTTGACTCACTCGGATTTATGGCGTGCCCTTCATCAACTGTGTGGAGGGATAAATGTACCAGCAGGATCAAGGCAGTCGACGTCTGAAAAATAAATATTAAAGCATGAGACCACCGTAAAATGAGGCTAAAGAAGGGTAATGTTCAGGAATAATAGACACGAACAATTGTTTTATATTATATACTACTCGTACCTTCTTATTAAAACTTACCTTCAGATATTAAATCTATATCATGTGACTTTTTTATAAAAAAAAACACGTATGTCAAGAAATAAAAAAATATAAAATTAAAAAAAAATCAATCCCATCAAATTAAGATTTATGCTTTTTTATAGACAGTCTACAATATGTACAATTTTTTTTTATCTTATCAATCTTTAAAAAATCTCTGTTCACTAAAAATTTCTTTCTTTATATTACCTAGTTTCATATAAAAAAATACTTATAATACAACTCAAACTTTCAAATGAAACCAGCAAAAAATTTCTGTTACTTTAATATTACTATAAACCAAATTAAAAAAAAAAAACAAATATGGAATTCAATATATATAATACAATAAATTTATATCCTATTTTTTAAAAGTAAACAATAACACTGGTATTTAAAAAATATATTTTTGTAATATATTATATTGAACAGAATATAATATGCTAAAGTATCAATTTCACTGACATTTCCTGTACAGTACAGGATCATATTATATTTCATTATATAAAATAGTAGCATTTATTATATCATTTAACCTGAAGCTATCTTTACGAAAAATACATTTATTTCACATAAACTAACGTCGAAAACGTTTTATATAAAGGTTTTGCAGCACAGATTGCTCAATCGGAAGTAATCTCGGCCAAATCCGGGGGCCGTTGATTCGATTCCGGGCTAATGTTCCCGTATACATACACAAAAGTTATTTATAACACTCTTCGGCAGAGGAAAACCGTGCGGAAACCGGAACATCTGGGAATCGGTACTGCTGGAGATAATAGACCTGTCGTCTAATGTGATATATAGGTATATGTTATGCTAATAACACTCTTAAATAATAATGTTTAGATAACATAATACTGTGAGAAAATATATACTTTTTTATGGCATACATTATTAAGTGGGTTGAGAGGAGGGATATATAAAAATATTTTGTTGTACATCCGTCGTACCTACAAGCATATTTGCCGTCATATTGCTTTCCGAATTGAAGCATCATATACGCCATATGGAAATTATAGTCCACAGAGGTATTCAAATATGATAATAGTAGTTGTTACTAAACAAATAAAAAAATCATCTTTTTATATAATTGGAGAAGCAAACAGGCCACATGACCATAAGTGGTAAACTTCAACGCACAGGTGGTGCCACAGATACAATCCAAATAACTGGCATGGAATGGCATGAGTGACATACTGACTTTATGCATGCATTCTAGAAGATTAAGATACAATATTTAAACATCCTCTAATTTCACTGCAGATTACTAGTGCAGACGACTGTATATTTTACCTCGATCAAGTTTATGTTTTAACTAATATTATTTTTTCCTATATGTTTTTAGTAATATGGACTATGTGTGTTGTAAGAGTACATCACTAGCGTGATTATTGATTGTTGACACAACACTAGTGATAGATGTCATTAGTAGTAAGAATGGAAACTGATTGTAATGGCGACTCAATAAAGTATAATTAAATAAATAACAATGGTTTAAGTGAATAAGTAAGAACATCATAACATGGCGCTGCGGACAGGATAAAAAGATAAAATAAAGTAAATTCAGTGATTCGTCTGCAGAAAATACAAAAACAAGTAATTGCATCATCCATTGTTAGAACAAAGGAAAAAATGGAGGATAGTTTTATGGGCTTAAAACCCCCAGAAACTCTACAGAAATTAGACGCGGAGGAATTTACGAAATGGAAAACAAGATTTGAAATTTACCGGAAAGCGACTGGTATGAATAATAAACCGGGAGATATCCAAATAGCAATTATGTTACATTGCATGGCTGACTTAGGTATAGACACCCATAGCACTTTTGATTTGAATGAGGAACAAATTAATAACTATGAAATGGTTATGAGAAAATTTGTTGACCATTTCATGCCATTGAGAAATGAAAGCGTATACTCTCGTATATTTATGAGAAATAAATAAATAAATAACAATGGTTTAAGTGAATAAGTAAGAACATCATAACAATGTGTTCCCTGTATTATGATACAAATTTCATCGCAGTCTGTTATGCCACATTTGTATATTCTCGGCGTAAATTGTCATTCCGCATTATTCATATCTCATACATGTACATAGGTAACATAAGTTACAACTATTTTACTTGCATTACCAAAGATAGGTATGCCAGAGTCTTCATACATTTACATGTTTTCGGAATAGCAATAGGTTATAACTTTTTTTGATCCCATTGGAATGCTACTGACTCCTCATTATGGCAAGCTTGCTGCTATAGGTACATCAATTTATATAGCATTAAGGTTATATTACGGACCGGATTGCTATTCCGATAAGATAAATATTCTAAAAATCATTTTTTTTTTACCACAATACACTTTTATACGATTCTATAATATGTAAGATTACAATTTGATTGGGAAATCTAATTTTGGATGAAAATAAAATGATGAAAATATAACTTGTTTTCTTGTTCAAATAACGAAGAATAATCGGTTGGCGAAACAAAACGCCAGCAAAGCCACGTCTTTGAAGTCCCTTGTGTTTGGAGATAATATTTACTTGGGGACTGTTGTGTTTTTATCAAACAAATGTTTTAGAGAGGTAGGAAATGGTTCATATTTTTGTTATTTTTGCGTGCACATGGAAATCTTGAAACAAAAAACTTATGTTTTTATTAAATTCTGGATGCCGATAGAGGATATAGTTTATAATAAAACAAAATCTAATATGTATTTCTAACAGCTCAATATAAGAAAGAAGCTGTACCACAGTTATACTCATCTCATCATCTTGTTATGTAATATTAAAGTGCTAATATTCAACAACTCATCTAATTTTTAGTTATTACTCAGCTTAATATAATAAAAACATCATGGAAATAATTATAATAGTCGACAAGACACATAAAAAAAGACTATGGATATCAAAATAAACAACATGTGTAACATATGTAGATAATATATTATTACAAATTACAAGTAACCAACTACGAGTACTGGTAATATCTTAAGAAGAATCAACTCTGTTCTGTATTGTCCTACTGTGTTTATATTTTACTATTACATGAGAGATATATTGTCACAAATAGTAACAGATTAGGGTAAAAAAATATATTGCTTAATATATAATGATATATAAGCACATGCTTGCGTGAAATACAGCCTATATTATTTGCTAATATTAGATATATTATCTAGTAGATAATAGAATTTATTAAATCAATGAAATATATTTTAAGTTTATTAATTACATAGAAACAAAAAGTAATATTTCCTCTTTCCAAGCATATATTTTAGTGTAGATCATAATCTAATTTAGACAATAAATAGGTGATAGAATAAAATTTCATGCTTAATAATATAATTGTTTGTTTTATATCATTCATTGTTAAAGTGTGTACAACTATATAATATTATGTTATATGTGATACTACTAGCTATATAGGTATGTATATATGCATCTGACGTAAACGATAATGAACTGTAGTACATTAAAAAAATGAACGACATTTCAGTTGTGTATGTATTTGTCATTATTTATATCATTTCTATCAGAACTAGTTAGTATTCTGTCCATATTGGTATCGAGTATCGATTTCCGGTACAATAATTTAATTTCAGCACTCGTGTACAGTGAGCATGTCTAAGGCTTCAGGCCTGACATGTAGGTATGAAGGTTACCTTTCAGGCTAATTTGATATAGGTGGGAGTCCACGCACGCGATATTTTTGTGCCTATCGTATGTTAAATAAAAGATCACATTCTGTATTCTCCCCTTCTTCCCGTTGAATATTATAGGAAATGGATTGTGTATGGAGCATTATCTCTAAATTTTATAAGCAAACAAAACTGTATAATATCTGAAAATGTGAAATGTTCATAAAATTACTGAATTACTGATTCTGTCTAATGTGGACACGAAATGATAAGTTCTATCTCATTGAAAATGTATGGTTTTATTTAAATTAGTGTCAACTTTTGGGTAATATATGTACATATGTTTATGCAGGAGTGTCTCGACGCTACTTCGACTCTGCCCAATCCCACTACAACCCGCTTATAGTCAGTGTGGTCGACTACGCACCGAGGAGTAATATCCGTCATACGCGATAACGTCGCTCGAGGCACGTTCTCATTGACCCCAACGACCCCATAACGGCAGTCAACCTCCCCACGGGCCCACCCATTCCACCCCGACCACACTTTTTACTTCATCACACACACACGACACCGTCCTCACCGGCGAAGACGACGACCCCAACACACCATATCGCGCAATCAACCGGGCGCCTGCGAGGGCCCGGGCGCTCCACGCCGGCGCCCCCGGGCGATAATGATTATTTGTTATATATATATATATATATATATAATAACCTATATGCGGTTGTTACTGACCGTCAGGTGAATCTGCAATTTGATTGCAATTCTAATTAACAAAAAAGAAATGGTTGCATCTTGACTAGTATTACTTGTATAGTACATCATTTTTTTAACAAACCAATAGATATTAATAGTATATAATGATAATATTATCAATGGAAGTTAATAATGTAAGTTGATATCACATTTACGCATTACATACATACTCTCTTACATTCTGTTCATTAATTCCGTCATCACTTTTCCACTTATCAGGAAAGTAGCGACAAAAAGGTTCAACTTAAGTGCTTCAAACGATGCATGTACTTAGCTATAGCTATCTTAACTTACCTGCCCTATTAAATATTAAGTGCACTCGCTTTCAACAGCAATATAGACTGAATGTTTTCTTACTCACATAGTATAATTATATAACTCCAAAGTAATTAGGACTAATAAAAATAATAACATATACTGTATATTTTATTTACTGCACTTTTGACATCGCTAGTTTAATGTAAAGCAATTT